TAGAAAATTGCTAGAATATATAAAAGTGCCGCTATGTGAAGTGCTACTATGTAACAAATTGAGCAATTTGCTCAAAGAAGGGGCAAACCAATAAATTGCTCATCTACTATTGAGCAAATAATTTGCTGCAAATTGCTACTTTTCAGAGGAGAAATTTGCCGCTTTACGAATGGGCAACCCCACAATGGAGCAAATTTTCGCTGTTCTACAATCGGAAGAAGAAATTGAAATTTGCACGCGAGAGTCGAACCTTGGTGGGTTGTTGGTGATTGTGTTGAGCTGCTCAACTTGAGCATTGCATTATAGTTTCGAAGTCTCTGAGTGGTGACTCTTTTGCAAAGTTCTGTGGTTCTGTCGATATAGATAAGGATAGTTGCAGCACAGGGAGAATGATGGATGGATTATTGTAAGTGGGCGGAATCACTCGTACTGAGTGATCCGAGATCACTTATTTAGATCAACATGGATCACTCATCTGCAGTGCTGTATAGCAGGCACCCCAGTGGTGCCCATGCGAGATGTCGTGGCTTTCATACACGCACCCTGATCCCTACGTGGCCTATTGCATGCGAACCGATATGCTCTTCGGTAGTCTGAGCAAATACTGGTCACTGGAGAAAGATGCCCCTCGCGAGCATCGAAATTATCGAGGAAAGAGGCAGGCTGGCTTAGCAGTGCTAAGCTAGCACTTCGCATCTACCCGGTGCTGAACAAGTTCTTCCGAGGTACCAGATGTAAGGAGATAGTGCGAAAGTACTCGCCTCACAACAATGCTATTTTATTGGTGGAGGAGTATGAGAGCCACGCGGCAAAAGAATTGCAGCACAAGCGGTCGAAAGAGGACGAGCGTGAGGAATCGAAGTAGTTTCTCGGAGAAACTTTCTCCCATCACTGGAGACTAGCGACCATGCACGCACTCGCAGTAAGGTAGGCACCTCAGTGGTGCCCAGCTGTTGTAGTTGCTACAAGTAGCTGTCTCGGTGATTGGTAGAGAAAAATTTGGACGTTTTTCAATATGCTTCTCATGTAACCCTTAATAGTATCTCTATGAAGGCCCTCTAGTGGTACCCGGGAGTGAATATTGTGTGCGGGGGGCTGTAGAGTTCATAATCAGTAATTTAGTCCGTGTTGCATTTCCCCTGTACAATCCTTCGACACCTCTGCAAAGTCCATAACAATAGTTCCACCGTGGAACTTCCACGAAGACGCTCCGATGAGTGCCACTGCCCATGAGCAAATTCTTCTCGTGCAGAAT